ACACACCATGAATCACACAAACAATAGTATACCGTAAAATTCCATTAATAAGCCCCGGGCGTGTACTTTGCAGAGCGTCAAAAACCGGGCGTTTATTTGGGCATGGGCATTATTTCGGATGCAATCAGCAGAAGATCAATCTATCAGCAACCCACTAGTTTCAGTGAGCCACCATTCACACTGAGCGCGGTACAGGTACATCAAACCACAGCTGGAAATTTGGTCGTAACCAAGAATGTAGCGATAAATTACAGATTTGATAGGTAAACCACTTGCTATGGTAAGTACAAGGCACAACAGGTACCGACATGGCACGCACTCGATCTACAACTGTTCTACAGTTTGGATGCGAACGCACGCTCGCGCGCTGGTCATTTTGAGTCCACTTTACGCCCTGGGCTTATTTCGGGCATGGGCGCTAAAACAGACTTGAAGTGTACACCGCCTAAAACTGGGCGTATTATTTTACGGTATACCAGCAGCAGAAGCAGAAGCAGCAGAACACAAATCCATCACAACAGCATGCACGAAAATAACACACGAAATGATTAAAAAAAGGACGATAGATTCGCCCCTGCTTGCAATTTCATAAAGGTTTATCGTCAGCGTGTACCATTTGTGCTACATTGTGTATGTTTTGTTAGCCAGATGATATGCAGACAGTCTATTCATCAATTGCCTGCGCAACTTCCGATCATATCTTCTAGATTAATTTTTAGACTCGGGCATTATTAACTGATATCATACTGCCACCAAAGTTCAAACCAACTTTGCTCAACAACGACTGGAGCAGGCGGCTCTGAAGCAAAACCCACATCGCTTCACATTTCACCCCCCAGGGTGGTCTCCCTAGCTGCTACGACTCAATTCTCAACGACAATCGACGATCAAAAAAGGCAAAGATGAAAATAATGGACAGCCTGGGACATCCGGGTGACTGCTTTGCTCCTAATATACCAGGAACACAGTACTGTACAAGCATAAATATTCGTCTGGAATTTAACAATTTCGTCTTTTCCGTCCAAGGAGCTTAAGAACTAAATTATATGCCGGATTAATGTTGATTTGTCCAGCTTTTCAATACACTCTTATGATCCATGGCCGAAATGTACAACCGGACGAACTCCCTTTCTTTGGAGTTGGTCGAAATTATTGACCGACGAAATTTTCTGCCTGTACAATACTTACGTAGTACTTCAGTACTTCAGTAGCAATACACATGTACATGACTGTACATTGCCAACAAGACTAGAACAGTAAAAGACATGCAATACTAAGCACACATACCTAGCTTTACTGAGGAAGAGGAAAGCCAATGTGGACTGTTCACGTCTCTCCTGCATGGGTAAAACAAACACACACACATTATACCCACTTATACATGATAGAGAGCGAGAGAGCGAGAGAGAGAGAGAGAGAGAGCGAGAGAGAGTGAGAGAGAGCGAGAGAGAGAGAGAGAGAGAGAGAGAGAGAGAGAGAGAGAGAGAGAGAGAGAGAGAGAGAGAGAGAGAAAGAGAAAGAGAGGGGTCCGGAGAACAAAGCAAGATGGATATCCTCCACAGCAGTCCAGTTGGGTTGCTATGTACCTGTTTGATTTTCTCACTGCTCTTAAATCCAGGCGACACCAGGGCAGGAGTGTCCCGTGAGATAGGAACCAAGCGCCACTGCACAATAAAACACACACACACAGCAAACAGTCAAACACACATGAAATAGACATTGCAAGGACAGTCGCATGATTACAGCATGTACAGATCACAAGTAAGGACCACAGGATGGCTTAGCAAGTGAGGGACTGTGTGAGGGAGTGCGTGAGGGAGTGCGTGAGGGAGTGTGTGTGTGTGTGTGTGTGTTTGTGAGTTGTAGTTGAAGAGGTCGGTTGCACTTTTCTGGGCTCTGACCGAAATGGAAGGATAGCTGCGTTTGCAGCCATGGCTGTGTGGTGTAGACCAGGCCATGCATGGCTGTGTGGTGTAGACCAGGCCATGGTTGCTGCAGCATGTCCCAGTGGATTTGCGCTCTGCTGGGAGTAGGTACACAAGCACAAGCGAGACGAGGCAGTGTTTCTTGTTTGAAAATTTTTCAAATTTTCGAATCCTGACACAAGAACTACTGCCTCGCCTAATAGCTATCATCGCCTTTGGCGATGGGCTTTCCAAAGGTCCAAAGGTGTGTGTGTGTGTGTGAATTGACCGCCACTAATTTAGCCTGGTATCCATTCGTCAGCCTTGCAAGCTGTTGAATGGTGTAATCCCAGCACAAGTTGCTATGTCTAACATAGCTGTTCGCTATCATCGCTTCCGCGATGGGCAGGTCTGAGGTGTGTGTGTGTGTGTGTGTGTGTGTGTGTGTGTGTGTGTGTGTGTGTGTGTGTGTGTGTGTGTGTGTGTGTGTGAGAGAGAGAGAGAGAGAGAGAGAGAGAGAGAGAGAGAGAGAGAGAGAGAGAGAGTGCGTGTGTATGTGTGAGTGAGAGAGAGAGAGAGTGTGTGCGTGTGAGAGTGAGAGAGAGAGAGATCAGACAGACGGGTGTGTGCGTGTGAGAGTGAGAGAGAGAGAGAGACCAGACAGACGGGTATGCTCTTACCGGAATACTCTCAACAGCTTCAGAGCGGAACGTTCTCAATGCCAATGCCTCTTTTTCTTTCTCCATCTTTGCAATATCCAAGAAGTTCTTGGCATGCATGTTCACTGTAAAAAAAAACACATGTTGCAGACCAGTGTCAGAAATGGCAAGTATGTTTGGTTTGTGGACTGGTTGGTACGTTGTATCAATAACAGTATAACACAGTGGACAGAGAAAGCTATGTTGGGACTCAACATCCCAGCAAAGCCTAGCCGGTCAATCATGTATATATACCTCGTTCTCCTTCTTCAATCTCAAAGAAGTAGACGTCGCGCATGGTCTCCGCTGGAGCCCATGTGACACGCTTCTTCTTCCGGTTCCGCTGTCCGGGATAGACCAAGACACCAGCACCGCTGTAAGATGAGGGCACTGGCATAGGAGGATGTGGTACACTCGTATCCATAGCTTCATGAGCTGGACATAATAAAAAAGCACACGCACACACACACAGTTACAGAATAGCTCAGACCACCCAGTGGTTGCCAGCTATTCTGGATAAATATATTATTATGAAGAATGTGATGTCGAATACAGTCAACTTCGCTAATAACGACTGCGGATATAACGACACTTCGCGAAAAACGACAGAATTTTCATGCCCAGAGCAAAGTCCCATCTAACTGTAACACACAAAATGAGACTTCGGGTATAACGACACTCCGCGAAAAAGGACACTTTTCTTATGCCCCGCCGGGTGTCGTTATAACTTATAAGCGAAGTTGACTGTATATCAACGTGTTTGACCTAGTTTCCTAACTCTTGACAGCTAAATTCTAGTGAAATTCATGATTTGTGATTTTTGTTTCATTTTTGGTGTTCACGCATGCGTGAATACCGAATATATTAATTACACTACGGAAAATTCCCGATTTCTAATACAGTAGAGTAACAAATCAGAGTATTGAACCAGTAGTGTACATACTTTCCATTTGAGCACCATCGTCCACATCCTGCTGCTGCTGCTGCTGCTGCTGCTGCTGTTGGTACAGGACAGGGACACAAAATGAGTGCACAGATCACACACACACACACACACACGCACGCACGCACGCACACACACTGGCAAACACACACACACACAGGCAAACACAAACACACAGACACACAGAGACACACACAGGCCTGGTTAGTGAGTATAGTAGTAGCACTACAAGCACTACACCTTCATAGAAACACAACCTTCTATGGGGATCTACACAACACACAATCAAAGCCTGTTGACCTAACATACTGACCCCAAATGCAGGCCAATGATGGCATGCACACATGTTTAGAATCAGTCCTGCACTTGCAAGGATTCGGAACCAGGTTAGAGTCTCACTTGCTGCTACTGTAGTATGGAACTGTTTCACAAGCATGCCCCAAGGCAACCACCCAGTACACATGGCAAGACTAAACTGATAACATGCAGTGCACAGCAACAGCACATGTACATTCGTCACAGGAGCAAGACATGCGGCAGCTGAATGGAACTTACCGAAGAAGTCTCTGCTGAACCACCACTGGAAGACCAATACACAAAAAAAACACAGAAAACAAGAGAAAGCTTAATATCAAAAAACGTCAGACGATTCTATCAACTACTGGACTAAGACAAAAGTGCGACGCAACTAAATTAACGTGGAAGAATGTTCTGACTTCTCCGGTCACTGCAATGGGATACACTGGTACAGGTAGACTCCCTTTAATTCGAACCTCAAATTGCCAGGCCCTAAATTCGAATTATCCGGAACTTATAAATATCCAAAATGCGGTCCCATGTACTATGTGTATGTCAAAATGCTTGAAATTGCGTGCTGATTATTTTTGCACATTTTATTTACAACAACGAAACATAGGTGGTCATGAACAACGAAATCAGGTCATTTCACCAAAACACTGGATTGACATGAAGTCATTGGATATTATTTTCATCTTCTACGAAGTTCTAGTGAAGCAGTTTTCAATCGCTGCAGTTGTCCTGAAACAATTTCAACGCAAAAGAACAGCGCTGCCTTCTCTGCGTCATGAAAGCCCGTCGTTCTGAAGAACGGAAGTGGAGCATAGGCATAGACAATTTTTACGACTTCCAGTTGTTGTTCAGTCCTAAACTTCTTTGCGCATGAGCTGGCGCGGCATGACAAGCCATTGAGATCCGCAAAGGGAGCCAACCACCTGGAAGAAGTCGTCTTCAATCAAATCTTTGCACTTTGCCTTGCACAGGCTTGGATCAAATTTCGAGAGAAGGTGGGTTTCTTAAACGCTATTGACGATCCTGGAGCGGACCAGGGATCAATTTTTGAGTTACTTTTTTGGCTAGAAAAGGTGAAAAATCAACTTCGAATTATGAGTAGAGCAACTCCATCTCACTTCGAAATAAGCGCTCGAAGGACATAGTCACTGTACTGTAAACTGCTCTTCTGTACGAAGGCAGAGTTCGAATTATCCAGCGGGTGCACTTTTCGTACTTCGAATTATGCGTTCGAATTTAACTTGAAGTGACTTGCAGAAGATCGGTACGACGAAAAAGTTCGAATTACTTCCTCCGCGTCATCGAAATTGTCGCAGTTTGACTAGTGACTTGTCACTTGATACTGACCACTCCATAAGCTAAGCCAATCAAAACTTATTACACAGTATGATAGTCTGAAGACTAGAGTAACGTTCCAGGACAGTTGGACTGAGAGTTTTCATGCAGAGATGAAGTCCTCGTCGTCCCTGATGTCAATGGACGCAAAATTATCGTTCCGAAATATTTCAAGGAAGGTTGAAAGTTGGTCGCGCCTCATCTCAAACGCTTTGACATTCTCCACAGGACAAGAGCTGCTATGCTTGTCGTCTGCTAGCTCTGGATGATTTCTACTTCACCAACGAAGCCTAGTAAGAATACACGATCGTTGCGAGGTCGGTTGATTACCGTCGGCGGTATCACCTCGATCTTGAAATGAACTTTTTTTAGCCGTGGCATGCCCATTTATTTTAGCTGTGTGGTCACAGCTCATGCAGCTCAGCGCAGGTAAGTGTACTATCACGTCCAGCGCGCCCTACCCTCTTTTCAGCATCACTGCCCGGCCCTGATCCACTGGTATACCATGGTACGGCACCTGCGCGTGCATCACTAGCACTACGTGTAGAGTCTACACGGCTCTTGCAGGTACAATCATGTACTAGTACTGAGTGTCTCGGCCAGAGCAACAAATTTTATCGCTGTTGCAGGCATTTAGTTTGCTGACCCCTCGATGTTTCTCCAAGCGCTGCCACTTGTTCCACGAATTCATTCTCACCCCACTGTGACCCCAGCTAAGTTAAAACAGTGATGAGGCTTGAGTGAATGGCCATAAGCACGAGAAATGCGCAGGCTGCAACGCCTGACTGATCTCACCGAGTCGAAATTACCATCTCAGCGACATCAGCGAAGAAATTGCGTCTAGTTCAAAAATTCCAGCTTCCAATAACAGAAAATAGAACTTTGCCGTCACCCTATACTGATGACCATCGCCTATGTCCGATTCCTTGCCTCTGGTACGAGTGCTGGTGAGTAAATACCCCGTTTTATATCAAAAGTCAAACTGCGACAATTTCGATGACGCGGAGGAAGTACACGGAATGTTCAAATTATACCGTATTCGAATTAGAGGGAGTCTACCTGTACTGTAGGTAAGACAGTGTGCAGAGACAGAGCACAGGCAGATAGACATGTACATGTACCAATAAGTTACTATCATACATAGACGGGTAGAAAAGACAGAAGGGCAGACAATCAAAGCAAATGGACAGATAGATACACCTCCGGGAAAAAAACACAGTAAAAGAGAGAGCCTGAGAGAGAGAGAGAGAGAGAGAGAGAGAGAGAGAGAGAGAGAGAGAGAGAGAGAGAGAGAGAGAGAGAGAGAGAGAGAGAGAGAGAGAGAGAGAGAGAGAGAGAGAGAGAGAGAGAGAGAGACAGAGAGAGAGAGAGACAGAGAGAGAGAGACCGAACACGACAAGCAGCATGACACGTACGCCGTGGCAGAGCGATCTCCGGGGACGTCTTCTGTATCCATCTTGACGCCAGTGCCAGCACCAGCTTTAGGCTGCACACAAGACATGTCAGACATGAAGCATGTCAATCCATGATACCACAGTGCTGCTGCTGTTGAATGAAATACGGTCGTGTGAGTCAAGTTTGCGCAATACACCATTTCGCAGCAAAGTGTTCGCATGTCTAGGGCTGCGCAACGCCCGGCTGCTCGTGTTTGAGAAACTCGACTGGATTTCATTGATCATGTAGTATAAGGTAGTAACATTCCTCACACAATTCCGGCTAACGATACAAACATGGCAAAGGCTACGAGTGAGCTCCTTGCTGCACGGAGCAGTTGCATCGACTTACATTCTTCTGATTAGGCGGAGGTACGGACTTCTTACGCATGCGTGCCTTGGGCAGATTAGCCGAACTGAGCGCGTTCATGAATCCAGCACTTTCCACGGGCGGTGCGGTTGGACCTGGATCGAAAAAAAAACACACACACGCACAATTGATTAGTTTCAGATTCGGCCATTCATGACTGAAAAGTAGGGTGCAAGAAGAACGCCACGCATTAACACATGCGTACATTCATGTCCTCCAATGGAAACAGTGAGGCTGGGAACAGAGAGAAACATCCCTGACCAGCAACACAGAAGCACAGGTCAAGCTACCACTGCCATAAACACAGGCTATAACAGAGTACACGCAGTGAAAGAAAGTAACACTACAAGTCAACTTACTTTTGACCTTCTCCTTCTTCACTGTGTTTTCCATCACCCGATACGGAGCAGAAAGCAACAAGAACAAAAAATATTGAAAACGACAGCGAAAACGCCGACTACCGCCCCAACAACAACAAATTACGTACATGGAGCAGCGAGATAAACAACAAGAGTTACAAGGCATCATTCCGCTATCCTGTGATACTAGCCCAAAGCATGTCCCACCTACTAGTAACAGCCATGCAGGCACATGCGCACGAGAATTCTACGTTGGCGAGACAGTCAACGAGCTACTACTGGCATGTACGACATGTACAACATGCACCACAAACTTCAAAAGTACATAGGCGCACGGCTGCATGCATTGCAAACCGAAAACAAAACCAAAAAAAGCAAACAAGTGTACTGAAAAAATATAAAAAATAAAAAATTTCACGGTTCGCGTGAGACTCGGTTCCAGCCGAGTTTTCCGCATCCGCAGTGGGAACGCCACCACCCTCTAGGATCAAAGGCGCAGATGCAGCGCCTAAACGGTGGGAGGTGAGTAGATCAGACCCACCACCAATTGGGCAAAGACCGAAATCCCATTAGCTGCATCCATGTTACCGTCGTGCCAGGCCACGAGTTCCCAATTAACTGTGGGTCGCAGCGCGGCTGGAAAAATCCTTCCGCTTCCAAGCAGGACTTGAACCTGGTACCCTCCGTTTCTCAATCATGGTCTTAGGCCATCCCACTATGCCTGCCTACTGTGTACTGAAAGCATGTCTGATATTGGCTGTGTGGCTAGAGGAGAGGTGGTGGAGCAGGAGAGTCGGCATAGATACTGGCAACAACTGGAACCCTAGAAGCATTACCGTAATCGATCCATAGCTTGCCATGAGTTGTGCATGTGACAGCCAACCGGCAACTCACCCACTTCGCCTGGCTTAGCTAGGTCGGCTGGCTTGCTCTTCTTCTCCGCTGGCTCATCCACTTTACCGTCATCGGCTTTCTTCTTGGTCTTCCTGCTGTACACGGCAAACAACAAAAATAGAAATCGCAAATCAAAAACAAAATCCAAGTCGAAGAAGATCGTAGAAAACAATTTCTGGATTCGTGAAAGACAACAACCGTTCTCCTAATTCCAACTGTCCACTACAGCATTTTGCTGACTCCCGCCTTGCTACTGCTTTTCACACCTGTAGTAGGTTTATTTTCTGCTACCATGAGCTGCTTCGCTCATTCTCTATCATCTACCAGAAGTAGTCACTGGTGAATCCCGGAGAAAAACGTTTCTGCCGAAACGAATCGGTGTCCATTGGTTGTGTTTCTATTTCTATTCGTTGTGCTTCTATCAATAATTATCCACTATTAATTAAAAACTTAAAAAACTAATGCAGATGTAGCTATTACCTTTTTGGCTTTGCCGTCGGCTTGGCAACTTCCTTCTCCTTTGCTCGAACAGAAGCTGAAATGGGCCCAAGTGCTGCCGCTGCAGCTTTCTTCTCCTCTTCCAACTTCCTCTTCTTCTCCAGGGCTTCCTTGGAGGAGCTCGGGTTCTGGTGTTTCTTCACCACAAGCAGCCATTCTTTCAGCAAGCCCGATGCTGCTGTGCTAGCTTCTGCACCACCACAACAAAACGAAACAAAACAAGGACACAACAGAATTAGGTGATAGTCTTGGTGGTTGGTCATCTAAGAAGGCCGGCTCCTTGCAACATTCGAGCTCATGCTTTCTTCCGCCGCCTCGACTTCACACTTTTCGGTTTTCTATTGAGTTTGAAGTGGTATGTGCAGACTGCCATTCAAGGGCACCCATTCTATTACCAGCATACAGGGTTTAGATGGAGCAATACTCAGTGACACGGCACCCTACTCTTAAAGCAAGGGACTACTGCACAAGTTCCAAACACTACTGTAAAAGCAGAAATTGTCGGTGGTGAAATATTTTCGGTATTCTCCAAAATCGGCGGTTCGGTGGAGGGGATTTTTTTCCCGGTAAAACCCGTTTTCCAGGTAAGTGTACTAGTACTACATGTATACAGTATCGGTTGTACCGAATATTTCGGTGCATTTTATTTTCGGTAAAAAATGTTGGCACCGAAGTTACCGAAAATAAAACACCACCGAAAATTTCTGCTTTTACAGTAACTGATACAGTGTACTCGCGATGGTCATCTCAAATCCTTGTCATCACTGTCACGTAGTCTACTAGTATCTACGTGTAGCAGCACCAGCCACCACCCTCCTTTCGGCGGCCTGGCTAAATCACTCACATACACATGCTCCAAAGCCCTGCGTCTGCTTGTACGAGCACTTCTGCACACCACTGACCAAAAACAGGCCGCTGAGCAGGGGCACTAGCACTATCACCAGCACCAAGCAACCAGTACCAATATCTCACCTTCATCATCAGCCTTCTTCAGTTGCTTGACCAACTTGCCAAAGTTACCCTAAACCAACACAAGAACCACCAAAGCAACACAAATATAAATAAAAGGGGTCCATTGTAGTTGGATTGCAAACGAGGGCAAAACTCAATGCGAAACACGATTGACCCAGGGAAAGCATCAGCAGAAACCAAACTGATAAACTGTGCACTAGTTCTACCTAATTCTACAAAATCCCCCATCTAGTAGATGAGTGAAGGTTTAGAGCAATGACGATTTTGCAAGAACTACATCAGAAATTTGCAAGTGAGTTAATGCACATCACGTCTACACTGCTGCTACCCCCCCCCCCCCCCCCCCCCCCCCCAACACAAATCCACATACCCACACACATGCACACTCACACACACCAGAAGAAGCCAGGGCAGTGAAGAAATTTGACAATGCAACACCCTTACCTGCTGTAAGTACTCGACAGTCACAGGTAGTTTGCGCAGTACCTGCAGTATATGTGTGCGTGTGATGAATGCACACCCAACAACAACAACAACAACAACAACAACAACAACAACAACAACAACAACAACAACAACAACAACAGCAGCAGCAGCAGCAGCAGCACCATTAGATATCACACAAGCACACCGATGCCAACATAGAAACTCATTACTTGAAGTAACCACCATTAGCATCCGTGCACACACACAGACACACACACACGCACACGCGCGCACACACACGCACGCGCGCACACACACACACACACACACACATCCATGCGCCCACAAGCACGGGCACATGGCTACTCTCCAATGGAGAACTCACATCCAACAAGCAAACGATGAACGGGTAGTTCTCCTCTCCTTTCTTCATCGAATTCTCTAACCAGGTGTTGAGAATGGCCCAGCCACCAGAGGACATAAATCTGGTCCCAGACAAGGAAGACACAAAACAACACGAGACCTCCGCTCATCAGAACAAATACCAAATTGATCATGAGTTCTACACAACAGCAGAGAGCTCTGCAGAAACATCCAAACCCATAGCAGAGGATAAAGCACCCCCCCCCCCCCCCCCCCCCCCTCTCCCCACCACCAAAAAAATAGTCGACAGATCCAAGCTGCAAACAAACCCTCAAGTGAGACACTAAAGAGGGAGGGAGGGAGGGAGAGACACACAAGCAGACAGGCAACACGCCCATAGCTAAGCTGGCACGCAGCAAATGCAGGGCACAGTAAGGCCTCGTTTAGGCCGTCCAAGGTCACCAATGGTATTTTCAAAACGAAAAGTTTTCGTTTGGGGGTGGGTGGGTTTGAAGGAGTTTCGTTTTGAAAATAATTATTGAATGCAGATGGAGAATGCCCAGTTACCGTAATTCCGCGCATATAAGCCCATGGGCTTATATGTGAAATAATGCAGTTTGGGGATAAAATATCTAGTAAAAACATGTTCGTTTTTTAGCCCATGGGCCAATATTCGAATTTTGACGGTTCCCGAAAAAGTACAAGTCCGTGGCCATAGTGGGTCTATCATATTCTACTGGTAAACTGCACTGACCTGCTGTACCATGGTAGGAAGAGTCCATTGTTGTGAAAAATTCTACTTGACACGCTAGTTTCATTTGTCTGTTTTTTAGCCCATGGGCTTATAAACGGAGGTGGGCTTATATCCGGATATAGGCCAGTGGGCTTATATGCGCGGAATTACGGTACATGTGGGTGTCAAAATTGACATCAATATTTTATTTGAATTCGTTTTACCTGCAGAAAAGGTTTTGTTTTGCAAAACTATTGGTAACCCCGGACGGCCCCTTACGATTGAAAAACGTTTTCAAAAGAACACGCTTCCACAGATTGTGATACACGAGCACGAAAAACGGCCTTCAAATTGTTTTTCAATCGTTTTCGTTCCGTTTCGTTCTCGTGCAGATGGCAAAAACGTTTTACTACTACGAGCCTCGTACTCAAAACATGCTGCCGCCAGGCCAACTTATTGCACGTGACCATTGCGGGCCGAAAAATGCGTTGCAACGTACACACTTATCGTTTTCGTGTAAAACAGCAAAAACGTTTGAAAACGATCGAAAAACGTTTTTCAATCGTTGTCGTGTAAACGAGGCCTAAGACATCAGACAAGAACTATGAAACCAGCGTTTCTGCTGTTGTGCTAACACAGAGGGCAACTCACTTTTCCAGCGTGGACGGTGCCTTCGTTGCCCTGACAGCGCTAGTCAGGATGGACTTGGAAACAAGGAGAAGGGTTGGGTCCTCCATCCGCCTATAGCACATACACACCAACGACAACGAGAACAGGAATTTAATCAAATGAGAACAGGAATTTCATAAAACGAGACCAGGAATTTTATAAGAAATGAAACGTCCATGAGGCACCCTGGCATCATGATGCCAAAGGACAAGTCCTATTGCCGCTGTCCAGATCGACAGTGCTGTGTGTCGGTCACCAAGATCTGCATGCACTGAAGACTCTGAGGACCGTTATCACAACACAGCTACTCATACAATGCCACATCGTTCTTCACATAAATTACACTTTTCGTTGCCATAGCCAGCTGACTGCTGCAGTCAGATAGACGATACTGATGCAGTCACATACTGATAATACCGTATTTCCGCGCATATAAAGCCATGGCGTTATATCCGAATATAAGGCCACCCTCACTTATAAAGCCATGGCGTTATAAGTGAACAAAATTCAATGTGGAGGAAGTTGCATCCGGCATTAAAGGTGAGTTCAATTCTTTCAGTGAACCTACAGTAGCGGTGATTCTCTCTACATGTACCCATCCCCACTTTCACATGCCATACCGCCATCGCACCTTCACACAAGTTTGTATGCCACCTTGTACACAATACTGAGGTTCACAATAAATTTTCATGGAAAATTTAAAGTATATGGATGCTCGACATGAACGTGCAACGGCACCATACGAGTACTCGAAGTTCATACTCTGCCGATTTTTTTTGCATGTAAGCATCTCTCACTTTTAGCGCCATGGGGTTAAAACCGAGGCTATTTTCTCCAAACATTTGGTCCAAAACAGCGATGTTTCACCTATAACGCCATGGCTTTATATGCGCGGAAATACGGTAATAAAGTAGACAACATGCCACACAGCAACCAAGCAGATGGCATGGTGTCTCGGACATGTTGCGTGCAGTCAAGCATGACACACAGCTGCTTGCCTTCACAGACCCCCGGCTGCATAGGCAGAAAACCAAAACGAACCAACGCGTGATGCCCAGCACATTTTCACATTCTGCGTAGAGTAGGTTGTAACAGAGATAGTGAGCCCCCAAGCAGCACATCACACTCTTGCAAACACGATACTGTAGAACGGCCAATCGTAGCGGGTACACTTGTTAGCGTTTTCTGAATCAGGACCGATTCGCGATGAAATAGAAGTGTTGTAGTCATGGTTACGGACTTCAGTCTAAATCGTTGGAAGCTAGTTATCAACGTCTTTCAGGGGTGAAACGATTAGTTCGAATATTCGAATATTCGAGTATTCGTTCGAAAATCTCAAACGAGCGAGTATTCGAAATTTTGCACTCTATCGTTTTTTTTTTTTTTTTTTTTTTTTTTTTGTTTGTTGGTACTGGCATTCTATTTTTCAAAAACTCCTGTTGTACTGCTCATCGACTGGTATGCACGCATTTATTCGTGCCTTTGAGTCAGTATTTTATGACTTGGACGATGCGATCACCACGGCAAGTAACGTTATTTTGTTTTGAGATAATGAAAGTACTGGTGAAAATCGTTATTTTACACTCTGTACAAGACGTTGGCGACTTTTGTTCTATGTTCACAGATAATTTCTTCCGAATTGGTCGAGAACTCACAAATCTAGCGCTTTTGAATTTCGATAAAATACTCGAAATAATCGGATACTCGATCGAATGAATGAGTGATCGGTTGGTCAAAATAGATACTCGTTTCACCCCTAACGTCTTTACAAGCCCAAATAGTTTAGCGTTCCGAGTTTCAGAGTTAACGAATACTACTAGTACTGTGGCTGTACATGCAAAATTTCTATTGGCGCGGCAAACCTTGAGCGAAAGCACTCGTTTCGCCAAAATCGCTAAAATATCACTGGCGCTAAAATTAGCCGTTTTATAGTACACCAGCTGTGAGTATGAGTTGGTAGCCCAGGCCACTGTGATAGCGTGCTCGGCTCAGACTTACGAAATAATCTTGTCGACATCATGCGCACTCTTTATGCAGCCCGTTTGCCCAAGGAACGGTGATAGTTCCTCCAGGTACTTCTCCGGCGTCAGAACATTCATCTCCGTTGTGGCCTGCAGACACACCAAACAGAAATGTACCGGTCAAAAACAACAACAACAACAACAACGCCAACAACAACAACAATGCCAACACCACCACCAACAACAACAACAATACCATCGCTATTATTTCAGCAAGCAGCTAAACTTTGATTGATTTCTCTTTATCCGATCCCCGCGCCTGTTTTTCTTCTTCTCTTATTGAATATCGGTCACAGGACATTGTAAGCACAAAAGATTTCAAAAAAACAACACTAGAATGCACCCCTGAGCAGGGCAAAAGTGGTGAAATCAGCAAGCAACCACGGCAGAACTTTCCTTTAGACACAGATGGTCTCTGAAACAAGGGTGCCCCTTGCAAATTCCCTTCGATTGGTGTCAAGGAATAGTGTCATCACTCGTCAGTGGTCATAAAGGCGGGTGGGGAGACTGAAACCAACCTGGTAACCTGCACCATACCAATGAATTACGCCCACGCATATGCGAACAGTACTCCCCCCCCCCCCCCCCCCCCCCCCCGCACACACACACCCAGGCGATGTCCCAGCCACCAGCACAATCCGTTGCCACCACCACCATCACACCGTCAGCCACCCACCCACCACACACCACCACCATACACCCACTCACACAGCCACCGCCCACCCACCACCACCGCCCACCCACCACCATACACCCACTCACACCGCCCACCCACCACCACCACCATACACCCACTCACACCGCCACCCACCCATCCACACGCCACCACCCACCCACCCAAACACGACCATCAACTCACACCCACCTACCCACACCACACACCGAAAACAGTATAAAAAGAATAAGGTGTAGCGTCTCCATGGATTTTGGCACGGAAAATCGTACTCCGGAACCTCTCTAATATCATATTTCGAAATATGGCTGAACCACTTGATAACAAATTCCCTCCCCCCCCCCCCCCCCCACACACACACCCACACGCACGCGCACACACACCACACACACATCGCACACATCACACACCAAGGGCACACACACACACACATCGCACACATCACACCCACACACATCGCACACATCACACCCCCACACACACACACAGAAAGGACATACACGCACACTCAGACAAAAAAATGCACTTCAAAGCTAGGAACAAATCAAGAACAACTCAAAGCATCCACAACTGGAATAAAAATGCAGTGGAACAGAACACCTATACACTCAACACACAGACCCACCATGTCAGTATTATATCGACGCCAACAGGCAACAATTTCATCTGCGAGTTGATACTGAGACGCTTGTCCCACACCAAACAGGGCAACACAGCGATGGCGTACAACACACCAACAATGCGTGCTTTGCTGTGGACTGGTTCTCAAATTGAGATTTGTGACTGGCTACAATCTTTCTTGAGCGTGAAGTCACTCTCGACTTGGTTTGTGTCTCCCTCTGTGTCTCACACACTTTCTCTATCAGTCTATCTCTGTCCCTGTTACTTGGCTCTAGCTCTTCAATCTACTGAACGCCATTTGGCTCAGTATGATATCGGTAGCAGCTCAGGAACTTTTGACAACTCAGGACTTCGTGGAGGATAGTGGTGGACTGCAGTCGCCTCGAATTCGAAGCACAAGACTAGTCACTTTCTTTCTCAACACACAAAAATAACCAGTAGAGGGGAGTTGTAAACTATTTCATGCAGGCCTCCAACTTCACCAACGTGAGGATTTGCCACTCCGTGTGCATTACAGGGTTTCCCAAAGGCCTATTCTAGAACATGGAACGCGGCTCCGTGAAAGGTACAAAAGGGACTTCAGCAAACAAATCTAAAAATGCAACCATTTCTCTCCGTCTTGAGACTTTTTACGACGTTGAGTTGAGTTGAGATTTCGCTACTCGTGCTTTGCTCGATCTTGTTGAGTCGTACACAGACTGTCAGTTGTACACGCTCGCACTGGCTGGACTGCCAGGTGCAATATGTCAGAGCGCATGCGTACCTCTACCCACAATGACGAAACTGTCACACAAAAGATAAATCTAACCAGAAAGCCCGTGCAAATCATGACATTGTCTTGAAAAAATGCATTTATCTGCGTTTTTGCCTGCGAACCCCGCTCGATTTCTAATAGTGTTTCCATTGGAAACCAGCAAAAATCCCCAACAGATTTCGAGCTTCGCAAACACAGCCACGAAAAAATCGTCGACTTTGAGCTTCTTGAGCTTGCTGAAAGTGAGGAAGAAGTCTTTGGGCTTGTTCGTTCTCTATTGTACCATAGTGAGTTGGTTACGAATTCACCCTCCTACTTCAGAATAATGTCTTCCGCCATTGTGAACACGGTGAGGGCTTCCCTCTTCCGACCGGTGATGGTCTCGGCCATCAGGAGCATTGGCTGCACCCGTCACAGCGGCGATATTCCGATCACCAGCGAAACAGCTCCTTTCATGGACCACATCTTTACGATCGAGGTGGTGAAGAAGAAGGCCGATAAGCAGCAGATTGAGGACCCGCAGAAAGACCAGAAGTCACTCCCGAAGTGAGTGGAATGATTGAGAACTCTCCTTTATCGCTGATTATGAGAACAATTTTGTTCTTCGCTCTTCAGAACAATTTGTTCTCAGCAGTTTGCATCACAACATCGTAGCATTTATGTACATGTAGCAGTTGAACTGATGTAGTATCGCTGATTGCGTGCATGCGCGCGTGCGTGCGTGTGTGTCGTCTATGTGTCTTTGTAGTATGCGTTTGTGCATGTATACCATTAAGTTTAAGTGCCATTTTATTTGCATCACATGCCAACCTTTGAAACGTAGCATGTCATGCCAACTCATTGTTGAACTAATGTAGCGTCGTTGAGTGTGTGTGTGAGTGCTCGCCGAAATAACTGTGGCCCTGTATGTATTCTAAGTTGTATAGATGGATTAGGCAGCACTCGGACAGCCCTGCACTACGTTGGTCGGTGTAGGCTCCTCCGTTCGTGAGCGTGTGTGACCTTCACATTGCCGGCATTCTGAATGTGAAAGTGTAACTGCTCACGTTGTCACCTACAGTGCTGCTCAATAAGACCTTATCAAGCGAGTTAATAGAGACCATTAACAAACAGTCACGCGTACGTTCGAACGATTGGACAGCTCCGATTTCCAATCGTCAAAGCATGCACGGCACGAAGCCGTGTGTTAAACCATTCAGGCACGTGATGCAACCGGAATCATAATCGTTTCGTGATCGCCCGTTGGGGCTGCTCCGATCGTGATCACGAAACGATACGAGTTTCCCCGCGCGCCGGTCTCGTTCCCAGTTTGTCCAAATCGTCGCGCCCGACGGTGTGCTAATGGTGTCTAATGCCGGGCGCTGTCGAACCCTGTGGATCAGCCCGTGAACACAGGGTTGGTGAACTGGTGCTGGGCGCAGACTTGACTCGCGCTATCGGATTTCATTGAGCAGCACTGTACATCTGCACATGGGATCAGGTGCATGCAGGCACGCACTCGCACACACAGTCCGGCTCAATGACGGCCGGCATCGTAAATTAGTTCAGCCCTGGCCGGGTGAATCATTTGATTGGACTGTGTGAGCAGCAGTGTCCATACATACTATCTGAGACACATATGCACAGCAACCGTTAAGGCCTTTGCTTTGGATTGTACGTCAGCCCAAGTTTAGTGCACCTGACACTGTACTGTATGTCTGGCAGACTAACAGGTACAGTCAGACCTCGTTTATCCGGATCCCTCGCCAGCCGAAAGAAAGTTGTTGGTTACCGATTTACAGCATTATGCCTTGCACACATGCATTTACACCGGATGTGTGCGGTTATGCGAGGTCTGACTGTGCTGTAGTGGACATTGAAATTCGATGGGATGACCGGGGCTGGCGCCCTTACTGCTTTTAGCGTGTACATGCGCTGTAAAAATGGACCAGCAGTGTTCGCGGCTGCAAAGCCAGCTCCCCGTGGCCGCTTGACTTGCAAGCGGGTTTCAATGTCCGCCACAGTACATGTACATGCTGTACGGAGCATACCTACAATAGCAGTAGCAGGCATTGATACGTGTACGTGTAGCTGGTCTGCTGAGAACCTGAGCCCTGGACAGATCTCACTGGCTGGCCCTGTACACTGGCAGCTTGACCCAGTAGGCCATCTCTCTCTCTCTCTTTCTTTCTCTCTCTCTTTCTTTCTCTCTCTCTTTCTTTCTCTCTCTCTTTCTTTCTCTCTCTCTTTCTCTCTCTCTCCCTCTCTCTCTCTCTTTCTCTCTCTCTCTCTCTCTCTCTCTCTCTCTCTCTCTCTCTCTCTCACACACACACACACACACACACACACACACACACACACACACCCAAGGTGTGTGAGCAGGGCATAGATTAACGGCCGGACATCGGACATTTTCCGGCCATTTTCGGCCACTGACTGGACGTTTTCAATTTCACCGGACATAGTGTCCGGTCAAAAAAGTAAAAAAAGAGCAGCGACTTTTCGACCTTTTTATGCAGAGTTCGGCTTTCTTCGAAGCTTCGTGCCAAATGCGACTTGCATATCTACAACTAACACGTACACCGTAGTCTCAGGCGTAGACTTCACTATTTACTTGATCCGCCTGTAGCAGCGCGTTGTTGCTACAGTCAATTCACACACGTCCGGGCATGTCCGGACAGATTTCAAAAAGGAAGGACATTTGTCCGAGCTAAATGAAATCCTCAAGCTATGCCCTGGTGAGTGGTCACACTCACAGTGCTGCACCACAGTACACATACATTTGCCATCGCAAACATGCTGCTTCTGAGAAATAATGCGAAATTGGGCGGTTTGCAGTGCACGAGCACAAAGGCACATTTATAAATTACAACACGTGTACATGTACTTGAAAAGGTGTGAATGGTTCCCTATAGCAGAAGGCTAGACAGCATTGTACTGTCCCCGGGGAAAATTGCGGAAAAAAATCGCAAAAAAACGTGGGGGAAAACGCGGCATAATATGGCATAATTTGCGGTAAATATGCGGTAATATGCGGTGAATAATATTGATGTGCGGCAATTTTCAGTGAGTATGTAGTGAAATCAATCAGTTACAAGTCTCTGGTTTAAGCACTCGTCATATTTGAGTAAAAAGCCGCCACGATGAGACGTTGCTGACCGAACAGTGCACTGTGTGTACGTGTAGTGCAACAAAAAAGTTCAAAAAACGCGGGAAAATCGCAGAAAACGCGGTCTTTTAAAAATCGCAAAAAAACGCGGGGGGAAAAAACGCGGCCGCCCAATCGCAATTTTCCCCGGGGACAGATTGTAGGAGACTTGCGGTGTGACCGACCCCCGGGAGGTCCGTGTCTTTTGCATTCAGAGCGGTTTCTATGTTTGCTTGTACAGTACAGTGGGTGGTGCACCCAGGGAGTAGTACAATACCAGTACAATGGTATTGTACTACTCCCTGGGTGCAAATAGTATACGGTCGACTCCTGATACAACGAACACCATTGTGCAGGGGAATAAGTTCTTTATAGCCAAAGTTCGTTATAACAGAAATGCACTCACACCACACAAACCAGGGAGTACAATATTGTACAGTCAGACCTCGCTTATCCGGATCCCTCGCCATCCGGAAGGAAATCGTTGGTTACCGATTTACAGCATATGTCATGCATACAGCATGTGTGTTGATTATCTGGTTCCTTCGCGCTTATCCCAATATTTTTTGTGGAAAGCGAGGAGGTCTGACTGTGTTGTACAACTTTCTCATATAAAATGCACATCATGACTGGCATGTGGCCCGTGGCTGTATGAGTGCACTTGGTTATCATGCGGCCCTACGATCATATTATTAGTTCGTTACACCGGCGGGGGGGGGGGGGGGGGGAGAGGGGGGTTGTAAACGAAAACAGTTCGTTACATGTATACAATTTACAAAGGGCAGATTTTGTATGGTTTCAAACAGGGACATGGACAGACAGGGGTTCGCTATATCACAGAATTCGCTATACTACGAGTTCGCTAGAAGTGGAATCTACCGTAGTGTAGGGCTCTGCGATGTGCATGCAGCGACGGCAACCAAAAACATACGCGAGGTTCTGCTCTACGTGAAATGTAGAGAAATTACATAATAATTATTATAATAGAGGCACAGGTATCTGGGTTAGAGTATACGGCTTGGCATGTTTTGGGTCCAGATCACAGGGAGTCGCCAGCCACTTGGTCAAGATTTCTACGCGGAGATGAGGTTCTCTACGCTACGGCACACGCAAATAAAATTCGGTATGGATCCGTTGCGTATCATTCAAATTAGTGAGAAAATTGCCAAGTTTGGAAGGGGAAATTCCCAATATACATGGGAACGCGAAAAGTGTTCCCGGGATTCTTTGCGTCGCGTTTCCATAACGCAGGGCAGAACATCACCATGGTGCAGACCGTTTTACAACCAAAAACACAAGTAGAGGCACACAAGAGCCATCACCATGCAGGTTCTGTAAAAAGCAGAGATTCCGCTCACATTTCGTTGGCGCAGTGAAAATATAACTTTCCACCAAAGAGAAACTTCCACTGCGGCAACGTCATACATAGAAGTTCCACTTTGTGCCGCCAACAAAACAAATTGCACGTGTGACCGCGGCCTAACTTACTCGGCATGCCTGCAAAGCTGAAAAGAACTTGCAATGTACAGTACTCCAAATCTGTCAAATGATCGTGATAGGATATGCGGTCATGCTCAGCAAAGATTATACTATTACACTCATACCTCGTTTATCCGGGCAGCAGTCCAGGACCGGGCACTGCCTATACACTGTACTTTCGAACTGCTCCGTAACTCTGAATCACATACACACTGGTGATGGGGGAAAGGCCATAGATATGGCATGTGACATCACTATTTCCACAAAAAATGACAAAAGAGTCGTGATATTTCCACTGAAACTCGTTCAAAGGGTGCCCGGTAGACCGAAGTGCCCGTAACTTCAGTGTCCGGATAAACGAGGTATGAGCGTACTTGACCCTAGAAATTATGGTAGATGTTGCAATGATAAAATACACCGGTTGCATAGCTAGCCCGTGCCAGCCACACAGATTCACTCCCATTCTTGACTACAGGGGAATCAAGTGAAATCCAACCACGTGAATAAAGCTTCATGTCAGGAATCGAGTCCACAGTGCTATGGCTGGGTAGCCATTGGCAGACGCTCTACTAAAAGGGTTGGATTTCACACATAATAATTATGATGTCACTGCACTACACTGGTTGGAGGTCAAGACACATCACTCATCGTTCAAAGCACAACGACAGGCACAGTTAGGCAAGCAGAACACGGACTGGCACACGCAGTGCGTTCGATTACTCCCGTGAATCAATTCATGAATGGAATCTCGTCGTTCGATTTCATGTCATGAGCCCCGGAATTGGTGCGTAATCGATTCATCCTATTCACATCGGGTGATGAGAATAGCCAGGGGCAATTCATGAATGGGTTCAAAATCGATCCGTGGGCAAAATCGAACGCACTGCAGCAGGGTTCTAGCATTGGCGCTACACCTCCTGCATGATCACACGCCACATCGTTGTGTGATGTCGACAATAGTCAACATTGCTCATCAAGCTCTCGAGCTCTACAGGTAGAGCACATCATAATAACATGCCCAGCATGTATTGGATTCGAATGAGCAATGCCGTAACAGTACAACACAATATGTATACTAGACATGCATTAGGGGTGCGATGCCTCATGGTCAGGACATCGTGCGTCCAGTCCAACACACAATTAGCATCTTGCCAGCAGCTGTGCATAGCACTTGCACGGCATAATCAACTCTAAAAAGTCTACTCACTGGTGAGTTCAGTGTGCTAATGGCGGCCAGGGATGGCAGCGCTTGGTCAACTTATGCAGGACCTGCTTATCCCGTCTCCAAATCCAAGTCAACGAGCAAACTGCCGACAGCCTATAGCACGTGGAATCTTGACGACAGAACTCAAAGAAAATCGGCATAAGGGTTTGTTCAAAAATCGGGAGAACGCTAGTTCTAGCTCTTAGCAGCAGCGGCAACAACAGCGGTATTGTCTGTTGTCTGTGTTCCTTCATCACCTGCAGCCTTTGCTCTTTTGTACATCTTCACCTCATGGTTGATCTTCATGCTCGCCATGACGAAGCCGAAAAAGCCGGACGCGAATGCAACCTGCCAGTAGCGCAACGAGGGCAGAACGCGCGCCACCAGCCGCTTATAGCCGGGCAGGGCCTGGCGCGGCACTTTGTGGGCCGTCTGTCCCGGTTTAATTGCCCGGCCCGAGTCACCCAGTGTGGTCGCGGCACTTCCCACCATCAGTGCTGTTATTCCATTAATTACAAATCCATACGCACCGGACTGGTATTTATCACAATCTGGGCACGACCTCCACGACCCATATTCAGCCGCGCGTGCCGGTCGCAAGGCGCACAGTTTCCATACATTGTAAGACGTCAGAGCGGACATGCCTGCCGCCAGCGCTACCACGGGAAGGCGTCGCGAGAACGTTCGCGTCTTGAACAGCACATCGGAACAGTAGTAGCTGCCATACACAGAGGATGCTGCTGCTCCAGCATAAACTGGAAATTGATTCTCGCGTGGGTCCCAGAAAGAACGCTCCGACCACCCTGTTTCAAGCGACATGACTGCAGAAGGAGTTTCTCTACTTGAGCCTAACAGGACATTACTACTATCAATTCAAATGAACGTCTTCTACAAACAAATCCTTTGGAAATTTTGTTGATGATGATGAAGCAAAGCAACAAGCAGTTTCAAAATCAAAGGGGGAACAACAAGCGAAAACCAATAATCATGAATATTGTGCAACGCTTGCGCTGTTTTTTGCGTATGACAACATCGTGACGTTTTTCGACGCGTCTCCATGGATATTGCATGCATGACGTAATACCCTACAAAGCTGTACGTACTGACACAAAGCAAGCACAAGCAAAGACATGTATACGATTGCAGAGTGATGGAAAGGTTCGAATATCGATTTTGTGAAATCTTGGTTGGAAGTCGTTTGTCCTGAAATAAGCATTGCTCGATATCGTAGCCAGCTATTGTAACTTGTAAGCCATTCTATTCAAGATACGCAGGCGGAATCTTCATTGTATGTACCTCGCTCAGTAGAGGATCCGCGATGGTACGTTGTCTGACTGCGACGGTTGGGAATCCGGGAGATGTTATTCGCCACATCCAACATTTTGTTGTTCATGATTTGAACTTGATTTGTCTCTTAGACGTCGGTTAGCCAAGCTCTGGAGAAGATACCCAGTAGCTGTGGGCACGTTGTGCTCAATACTGATGGCAGCGTTGTGCTGGTAAGCTATCGCAGTGACTCATGCTGCTGGTGAATCCATGCTTGCCAGATAGTCACACACTAAATCCTTGACTGTTTTCTCGAGTACATGTACATGTGCATGATAACGACTAGAATAGCGTAGTAACATGTGTGCAGTGCAGCCAGGTGCGGCCATATTTATTTCCTATGTTCTTGTCAGCAATAACCGTGCTTACAGCACTCAGTGCTCACTTGAATCTGTATTGTGGCAGCTGGCACGAGCCCTGAATGCACACACTGGTGCAGAGCCTTTGTACCAAGAGTACAGAACTCCCCAAGAGTGTGCCACTGTCGATGAGTAGCTGCAAGAGTGCATATCGTATTTTACCGTTTATAAGTCGACCCCCAATACTGTACCCGGGGCCTAGATTTACCGGTTCAATATCAATATGATCAACAGTAGTTGAACCCCTGTTGTAAGTCGACTACCCCTTCGTTTACACAATTCTGGAACTGGGTTTTGTAATTCTCGAATGACCAGAATGTACGAATTCCGGGCATGTAAACGAGCGACTGGAAATCACAACGCATTTTATTCGTGGCATAATAATAATAATAATAATAATTTGAAAGTAGGACGGAGGCAGAAAATATTACAAAAAAAGTATTGTCTACGCATGCATCTACGCAAGAGTCACCACCAGCCAATTAGGACATGTGTCAAAGTATTGAACGTTTTCGTTCCCTTCTTGTCATAATACTACAGGGAATGATGGAAATAAGCTAAAAGACTACAACTATAAGGAAAAGAAGTTCAGAAATATATCACTCCAATTATGTGTAGAAGTGACACGAAAAAAATAGATGTGAAGAATCAAGAAAACAGCATGCAAATCCAATAAGTGACAAAAACGTAGTGACAAGAAAAAGAGAGAAACATCAAGAGATCTATTTCGCACCTTCACGACGAACAGTGCCAAACAACTGTAAAGACAACACATTCTCCTTCTGAACACAAAGCTCAGGGTCTAACTTACGTATGTACAAAGCTTCCAACACGGCAAGATGCAACAAAGACCTACCACGCGACAAAACAGAGAATACATCATCGGAGTACCACTCACGACAACTAGCACTGCCCGACAGGTGACACTTGATTGCCGAGGTACCGTTTCCCTGACCCGACGACTTGGCCGTTGTCACCTCCGATATTGCCGCTTGCGAATCTCTCCCATTACGCCCTGCGTCCCTGCAATTCCGATTGCCTCGGTCGAGATCCGTGTGCTGCTCCACGTCCAGTCTGTCCTGCTTCCGTGGTCTACCTCGTTTCTTCACATTAACCGTTGTTGTCACTTCCAGTATTGGTTCTTTTGATTCGTCATCAATTCGTCTCCTCAATTGACTTCTGGTGACTCGTCCGGGGCTCGATTGTCCAGATGTCAGTTTCGGTGGTTTCCGTATCGGTCTCTTCTTCTTGTTGACTGTTGTTTGGGTTGGCTCCAGCCCTCCGCCCGACGCAGTTGTTTGGCACTGTTCGTCGTGAAGGTGCGAAATAGATCTCTTGATGTTTCTCTCTTTTTCTTGTCACTACGTTTTTGTCACTTATTGGATTTGCATGCTGTTTTCTTGATTCTTCACATCTATTTTTTTCGTGTCACTTCTACACATAATTGGAGTGATATATTTCTGAACTTCTTTTCCTTATAGTTGTAGTCTTTTAGCTTATTTCCATCATTCCCTGTAGTATTTTGACAAG